CTCCTCCTCATCATCATCAATCTGTCCATTCATATTATCCATGAAGATCTTAATCTTCTTCTTCCTCCTCCTCATCATCTGTTGGGCGGCACATTACGGAGAGGCCGCCAGCGCGAACAAAAATAAGGTTGTCCGGATTCGGGATATGGTCTCGAAGCCACTGCTGGTCGGCAGACGACGACCTGGGGCCGTGGGCGATGCATGAGAACGAGCTGCGTTACATCCGGTTCCGGGTCAACTTCTGGGGGACGACCCGGTTCTCGTGCCGGTTCGACTGGGGCAGCACCAAGTCCCAAACCGTCGTGGTTTACAACGCCTACCCCGACCGGTGCGAGGACGAGCTGTACTGCACTTGGGAAGTGAAGACCGACGGCTTTTACTTCGCCAAAGGGGAGTTCCCTTTGGGCTCCGATTTTGTGCGCCTTGCTAACTGGATATGATGGATGGATATATAGATGCGCCTTGCTAACTCCGATTTTGTAGTCGTGCAAACAATTTTCCCAAATTTTCTCAAATTACAATTTGAGCCGTTATATGAAATGGAAAAATAATGTGATGCCACGCACTCTTCTTAATGTTGAAATAACTCATCAAATCAGTGTTATTATATCTTTTGGGGATAGAAAAAAAAGTTATATATATATGATGAATTTCAATCTCTTAGTATCAAATTCTTTTCTTTCAAAAAAAGAAAAAAGATATCAATTTCTTGATTTTAGTGATTGGTGATCGATCTATTAAAAAACCACTTTTATCCTTATTTTTTCATACACTACCTACACATCATACTTTTTCTCTAATAATCTATCCATCACATCTTACTTTTACCCATCACATCAGGGGCAAAATTGGAAATCAACTATAATTTAACACTTCCTTATTTTTGCCCCAAATCAAATGAGAAGGGTTTTTCCAAACGGAGGGAGTATATATATATATATATATATATATATATATATATATATATATATATATATATGTCAAAATGAAATCAAGTTTTTGTGTTATCTGACTCATTAGGATTGGGTCCATAGTTAGGTTATGAATAGATGGTTTATGTCAATTGTTTAATGAAATCAAGTATTCAATTCCAAAATTCTATGTGGTATCAGAATCATATATTAGAAAAATTGGATTTGCCGCAGTAACTCCGTAGTTTATTTAATTTCATACTAATATTTTACTCTCTCCGTCCCTAAATAAACTTCCTTTTTCATTTTTTCTTTGTCCCCAAATAAACTTCTCTTTTTTCTTAAAAAAACCCTTTTACCCCTTACTTTTTCATACCCTACCTATCACATCATACTTTTTTACTAATAATCTACCTATCACATCTTACTTTACACATCACATCAAGGGTATTTTTGGAAAGTCAACACAAAAATATTCCTCCCTTAAATCTTCAAAAAGTCAAAAAAGGAAGTTTATTTAGGGACGGAGGGAGTATGAAATTAGAATTGTAATGATTTTAGTTCAATTAAAGGTTGAAAAATTCACATACTTTAAGAAAATTATACTTTTTCAATTTTACGTTAAGACTTTAAAACTTTACAAATGAAAACATTTTTCTAAAAAATTCCAATTTTAACATTTCAAATGTATTTAAGTCCTATTTTTTGTTATTATTACTCAAAAATAAACTATTCATAATATAACACTATAGAGTATAGAGTGTCACTTGAAAAGAGTGGAGGCAAACAGGGCCAGCCCCCTCACTTGCAGAAGGCCCGAATTCAAAGCCCAATGATTTTTAAAAGCACTTAATAGTGCTTTGGGCTTACCCCAGTAACTCCGTAGTTTTTAGCGTCAAAATTCTAGTTTTGTTTGATTTTTAAGACAACCATTGGACTTCAATAAAACAAACTTTGTGATTTATATATGTATTTGTTTAAAAATGGTTTAATCTTGTTTAAAAAATTTAAAATTCTATTCTCAAAAAAACTAATATACAAAACAAATTGAAAATAATTGAAATATTGGAGTACATACTAAAATAAAACTATTACTATCACATTTATGTCATTACACATTTAGGGATCGGTTCCTGTGAGAATGATGTTTGGTGAAAGAAATAAGAATAAATCAGAGACGTCAAATTGGATGCATCGTGCGGCTTAAATGAATCAATTTTGTTGACCTCTTAATATGGAAAGCAATCATTAGATTAGAATAAAATAGTTAATTATTGCATTGTAAGGTCAATTTGGTAAACTAACATAGCACTAAAATCACGCATCCTATCTCTAACCGTTCGCCCCTATCCATTATAATTTCACCCTATAATTGAACTCATTTAATTATTATTATGTAATGTTTATTTTGAGTATAACTTTTTATACACATGTCCATTTTTGATAAAAGATATACCGTTGGAAACCACTCAAGGAGATCTACCCGATGACACTAATATTGAATATAAAAGTTTGATATTATTTTCTTCGCACATTTTAAAGTAAAAAGTGAAAATTATAATTATTTTTTTATATGAATGCACTGTAATACCCGATATATGCACTATGTTTCGTACTTTAGATTTTATTCAACTTATTTTTGGATATGTTGAGAAAGCCTAAGAATGCGTTGTATTCTGAACAACTGTACAAATTTGAGAAATATTTTGTCTATGCAAGAGTTGGACACACATTCATAATAAATATTGTTCTATGATTTGAGCTAATAGACAATAATTTGTTTTTTCAAAGACACTCTGATAATTTGGGTTAGGAAAAAATAAAAATAATAATAATATCAAAAATGATTAAAAAATACTATTTTTGAAAGAAAAATGAAAAGATTGTAAAAATGAGAAATAAAATATAACTAAGCTACACTATTAAAAATTAAACACAAAAAAGATTAAAAATACCTAAAAATAAATAAATAGAGCTAACCCAAGACCGACTTATCAGACTCCTAACTTGCACTTTGGACATATTATATACGCATGTTAATCTCAAAATATGGGCATGATTCAGCGTGTTTCCAATTCATATTCGAATGTATCACAAAATATTTTAAATGCATCATCGTTTGCAGAATACTCATTATGTACAATATACAAATGTATCATATTTGTGTCGAGATAATTTCACCATCAAATGAATCAACTTTAATTCTGAGAATGTACAGTAATAGAATGCATTATCATTTAGCTTGGTTTTGATAATGCACAATAATAGAAAATGGCAGAAATGTAGTATTACATTCTAATAATGCACAATAGCATCGTTTGTTTTATTTCATTTCCTTCCAACAAATCATTTCAATTAATTATTACATTTTGATAATGCACAAAACATTTTAAATGCATCATTGTTTGCAGAACATTCACTATCTAAAATATACCGATGCATCATATTTGTGATAGTAAGATTTGATTTTGAGAATGCACAGTAACAAAATATATAATCAGTTACCTTAATTCTAAAAATGCATTATCTTCTTATATAAGTGCATTATCTTGATTCTCATAATGCACAGTAATAGAAAAATCAAATAAAAAGAAAAAGGCATATCAAAAGAAGATGTACTAGTACATCATACAATGTGCACCATACAAGCAAATTTTAAGACAACAACACTTTCAACAACTTCTTTAACAATGACCATCTTTGTTTGACTATCAAAGTTGCAGCCCCTGCCTCCCAACAACAAGAGACTACACAACGCAACCAACTGAAGCCCAATGAAACTGATGGAGGACAACTATTAGACTTCCATTAACATGTTCTCTATTCAAAATCATATCAGACTTACTAAGCAACAAAAAATCAATTTGCAGCCAAACAAAATTACACCATATAAGAACAAACATATATAAGAGCCAATGAGAAAAACATCATTGGTGGTAAACGAATCGGATGACGTTTAAAAAAAGCCAACAAATCAAATTTTAAAAATAAAGAGTAGGTAGAAAGAATAAACAACAAATTAGAAACTAAAAAATACAGACTAGATGCATTATTCCCTTATTGATGTCTCCATGCATAAGTTACAATCTCAGAATGCATTACAAATGCATAACAAAGCATTAAATTATACATGTTGTTACAACAAGAGTTAGATATGAAAATAACCTTTTATGAATATAATAATAAATAATCCACACTAGAGGGAACGAAAAAAAATGCTCCTAGAGGGAACAAAAAATTGTGCATATCATCTTAGTTGGTGGCTATGTGCAGTATAAATAATACAAAATGCATTACAGTGCTTTCAATTATGCATATCGTTACAGTTAAAATTATTAGATTTGAAACTAACATTATACAAAAGTAAGAAACTGCACCAGCAAATAAATAAAATCATATAATAAAGGGTTAAAATAAGAAATGTGTGAATGAAACCATGAAATTAATTTTTGGTCATTTGGATTATAAACATATTGAATTGAGGCATCCAATATAATTCTAAGAATCTACCAAAAGAGTAAACATAATAAGATCAGAAATGAACTATAAAAAATAAGAAAAAGCAAGAACCCACGCTACGAATTGAAGAGAGACTGCTTCCGATCTCACATGAACAAGAAAAATGTGGAAAAACAAGAACAAATCACACTCGAAAGTATGAAGGAACCACAAATTTTTCGTTGGGAAGATAAAAAACCATTATTGGATCCTCAATTGAGATGAGAAAAAAAAATAAAAATTATGATAATCATACCTTGAAACATAAATCTTGAGAAAAGTTCAGATCTATTGAGAGATATGGGCAAGAGAATCTCACGTAAAAGGAGAGAGACGAGAGAGGAAGTGCGCTGATTTCCCGGAGAGGATTGCAGAGAGAAACGTAAATAAGAGGTAAATACTTATTTGCCCTTGTTCACTTTGTAATATGTGTATCTAGCTTTTTCGATCCAATGGCTGAGATTCATTTTTATTTCTTTCATAAGATCTCATTCTCACCGGAACCAAAACCTACACATTTAAATCACTAAATGTAATTTTTCCCTTATCAAACTTTTAAAAACTTCTCTGGAGGTAAGTGGCAAATAATAACCACATGCATGTATTCTATTCACTCTTTATTTTAGGAAGATCGATCTTATACTATACCCCTTATTACTTATTAGTAGTTCTCTATTTGTCCATCCAATATCCCTTCCGAACAAAATCAGAGTCTTTAGGAAACTCCCCTTTGGCGAAGTAAAACCCGTCGGTCTTCACCCGCCAATTGCAGTACCTCTCGCGCCTGCAATCGTACCCGTCCCGGCTATTCGCGTCGAAAACGACAAAGTTGGCAAATTTGGTGCCCCAGTCGAAGCGGCACCAGAACAGAGTGGTCCACCAGTAGTTGACCCGGAAGTGGAACTCGCGCGACTGGTTCTCTGTCATTGTCCAGAGGCCCAGATCATCGTCTTTGGACTTGCAATGCACGTTCAGGACCTTCGGAGGCTGGACCGGGTTGTGGGTCGGGATCAAATCCGTTATCCGCACGACCTTTTTAGGGCCGGCGATGGCGGTCTGTAGATGCGGCGCCATTATTGTTGCACAGAAGATGATGGTGAGTAAGAGGTTGGGGATGAATGGGGAGGTGGATTTTGAATACATCATCCTTAACAATTCCATCTTGATGATGATGATGAATTGATCGACCCGATGATTGTGATGGGGATGATGAGCATAATATATCATGCATGCATTTGTGTGTGTGTGTGTATATATATATATATATATATATATCTGTGTGTGTACACACGGTATTAATCTCTGCAAATCCAATTAAGGGAAGTGGTTTTGTATAAAAATCTCATTAAATGAATATTTACTTGCTTACTTATAACTTGAAGAAATATCCATATCAAGCGTACGTTGCGATTAATAAATAAATCAGCTTAATAATCTTACATTCTCACGTACGTACGTGTTTTGATAATGCTTGGAATAATATCAAGAGAAATTTAGTACTGGTAGATCGAATATGAGCGAAAAATTAGAGGTTATTTATGAGAAATTTAATATTTTTCCAATATAGGACTATATGTTTTTATTTCTCAATATAGGACCTTTGGTCATTATCAATTAGTCATTACTCATTATTCAACTAAATGTTCATCAGGACATTATTCCTTCCACTAGGTCATTATTAAGTCCTAGGAATAAAAAAGTTTAAGTCTTACATTAAGAAAGTCATTATGTTTTAGTCATATTTAGTGCAAATTTCACATTATTTTTTCCTAAATAGGGTCGGAGCATTTCTTGTCATTAAATGACCAAAATATCCTCTTCGACCATTTCTAAAAAAAGGGAAAAAAATTAATAATGAAAAAAACTTATTACGAAAAAATTATGTATAAAGTTAATTACAAAAAACATTTGTTAAGAAAAATTAATATTATTATTTTTCAAAAGTTATAATTTAATTTGTATAGAAATAGGTAATTATTCATCTTGCAATGGTGGTGAGTCATTACATGTGTGAAGTGAGTGAGATGGTAGATATACTAATGTGATGCTAAGTGACTCCTAATTGATATAGCCCTCAACTAGAACTTATGCGGTACCATATTCGAAAAATTGATAATTTCTCCTTAATTATAACACCTTCGGTAAATCAATCACCCCGACCGGATGCCAATATTGTTAATGTGTCAGACAGTAACGATACCTCACTATTGACACCCGGTACCCAGATAACGCCTACCAGTAGCTAATTGCCGTTATCGGCCGGAAGCGATGGCAAAACATATATGATGGCTTTTACACGGTGACTGTAACGGTACACGATACTGACCACTACCGCTCCAAGTACTATTACCTTCGTCCCATTTTATAACATCTGTTTCGGTTTACGATGTTTGATTGAAATTATTTTCAAACCATTTTATATGACAAATGGTATAGAATTAAAAAATAAAAATTACGGAGTACATATTAAAAAACTACATCAAAAGATATACAAAACCAGTAGCGACAATAATATTTTATTTTATCAAATTGCTAATGAAAATAGAAAAAGAAAGTGAATAAAGTTTGACCCTGTGAATAATAAACAAACATTATAATTTGGGACTGGGGAAGTACATTTTTTCAAAAAGCTGATATCGAATCAATTGATGTTTAATGACTGGAAAATGCTTGGTTCACAAACACAATCATCACAAAATTCACAAACTTACTATTTGTGATCTTTGATAAAAAAAATTAAATGATATAACACAATTTTAAATTGAAAATTTAAACCATAAATAGTAAGTTTGTGGAGTTTGTGATCATTCTGTTTGTGAACGTAGTATTGCTCTTAATGACTCGCATCAGCTCTTAATCACATTCTAACGGTCCAAAATCGTCGATTCGTCGTTAAACCTTTTCGACCATATATAGAGCTAGCGTTGATTAACCTTCATTTCAATCTTGAACTTATTAGTTCACGCTCGTCATTCTCATTTAGCTTTTTAAGGTTTAGCATTTTTATTGTCTTAAACATTTTGAACGATTATTTTAAATATAAAATATATGCTTCGTTCAAATCACTAAAAAAGAATTTGTCATCCCAAATGTGTCGGCTCATTTACTATTATAACAATTTGATAATTTTTCTTTATTGTCCGTTTACATTAATTATTTAATAAAATAAAATGTTATTATCACATCTTGGCATCTTTAGTTAAACTTTTGATGAAATTTTTAAAATATTATAATAAAAATAAAAAAATAAAACTTACATACATCAAAAATTGAAATGACATTTGAGATATTGGCATTTATGCTCTTTTATTATTATTAGCTATACAATTTGAGAATAATTGTTCTTATTGAATCTAAGTAGGAGAAAAATTATAATAACAATAAAATTTATAAGAAATGTAATAAGGATGATAAATAATGAATAATAATATTTTATTCCTAATACATCTATTATTGATAATAACGTACTAGTCTAATATGAGGTCCGCCCAGCCAAGTTGGCGCACAAAATCGGAGTCCTTAGGAGACTCTCCTTTGGCAAAGTAAAACCCGTCGGTCTTCACAATCCAATTGCAGTACCTCTCACCCCCGCACTGGCCTTCTTGGGCGTTGAATACGACGACGCTTCGGGCCTTGACGCCCCAGTTGAAGTCACACCAGAACAAAGTTGTACCCTGAAGTGGAATTCGCGCTCCTCATTCTCGTTCATCGCCCACACTCCTAGATCTGTGTCTTTGGATTTGCAGTGCACGAGCAGTGGCTTCATGGGCTGGACCGGGTTGTTGGTCGGGATGGAGTCCAGGATCCGTACAACCTTCTTGGGGTTGGCACTGGCAGTCTGTAGATGCGGCGCGAGTATTGCACAAGAGATGATGATGATGGTGAGTGGGAGAATGAAAAAGGATCTTGAGCACATCATCATCTTGAATCTTGAAGATGGTGATCGACGATGGCCTTGCATGCGATGATTAACTATATGAGTGTAGGCATGCATGCATGAATGTGGTAATATTTATATTTAATAGGGAAGTGGTAATTTTTGCATACAAGGAAATGGAAAATCACATTGAATGAATATTTACGATTTACTTTATTTGAATTTCAATATATTTATGAAAAAATATGGAACACCCACCCCGAGCGTCCTCAGCTCGCACCCCGCCCCGAAATTTCATTTGTACTTAATTCGTACGGGTATTATTTGTGTTTGGTTAATCTAATACTCCCTCCGTCCCAAAAAGATTTACACGTTTCAAAAAAATTGCGTCCCACAATCCCTTACACATTTCTATCAAAAAACCATTTTTACCTCTTACTTTTTTAAATCCTACCTATCACATCATACATTTTTCCTAATAATTTACACATTACATCCTACTTTTATCCATCACATCAAGGGTATTTTTGGAAAGTCAGCACAAAATTATCACTCCTGTAATTTCAACTTTAGTCAAAATGGATAATACTTTATGGGACAGAGGGAGTAATTGTCAAATTATATATACTCATGTTACATCTGTGCACAAAATGAGCACGGCCACAATGTTCACGAGGTAAGTTATTCAATATATAAGGAATACAAAGAGAATTTCAATACTCCCTCCGTCCTAAAATTTTCTTCTCACTTCCCCTTTTTCTTCGTACTAAAACTACCTTCACATTAGAAAACAAAAGATGAAAAATGACATTAATACCCTCATGTATTTCACCAATTATCTTCTAACTCTATAATTTTGAATGATTGTAAAAAAAATTCAAATTTTTTTAAGGAGGGTAAAATTTAAATCAATGCCAAAAATTAAAAATGGGGAAAAGTCAAACTGAGAAGAAAGAATTAGTACGGAAGAAGTAATACAAGAATCCTGAGTCATAATTATGGGAACACGAGAGGTAGGAAAGCACATAATAGTAAAAGTACAAATAATGAATAATCATATATGAACCTTTCCCCAGTGTTTTGGAAACCGGACCGGACCGGCCGGTCCAACCGATTGGACCGTGACCCAGTCATCAATCCGGTCCGATCCAATTGATAAACCCAGGATTCAATTGACCCGTCCAAACCCGCCAGACCCGGAGAACCGGGTGACCCGGGTCGATCCGGCCGGTTCAGGGGTTTGGACCAAAATCTACTCTTTAATTTTAAAAAATATGTGGGATAGGTGGTTTCGAACCCAAGACCAACCGTCTACAAAGAAGAAGGCTATTGCCAAGCAAGCTACTCACACCTTGTGGAAATATGTCGGCAGCAATGTTATATATATACTACTTTACAGGTTACATATGTTATATACAAAACAAACTAATATAAGTACGTTTTTTTGCAAGTGTGCATTTATATTTTATTCACTTTATGCATTTTTAAATAGTTTCAAAAAATAAGAATTATTTAATTTTTTTTCAAAATCATATATTCACTGTAAATTTAATACTTGAAAATTATTGTTATTTTTAAAACTCAAGTTATATTTAGTATTTATAATTTAATATCCTAATTTTTTTCCAATCATTTTATTTAACTAAATATAATGTTTAAAATGTCAATTGTATAAAACAATACACTATCTAGTCTTTACTTTTTGAGAATATGTGTATCGCCCGGCCAATTATTTAAATATTTATTAGAAATTCATTATCTATTTTTAATAATAATAAAAATAATCGAATACAAAATAAAAGGTGTGAAATAGCATATGCATAGTGATATTAAAAACTAGATGGAAAAATAAAAAGCAAATTAAATTTTTTATCTAATATATAATATAAAATGTTTTTATTATAAATATTGTTTGACCGAGTCGTTGACCCTCGGTTTGACCGGTTCAACCGATCAACCCTTGACCCAGTACCTCATCCGAGTCGACGTCCGGTCCGATTTTCAGAACATTGCCTTTCCCCTGACTTGAGTGGGAGAAATTCCATTCCCTAGAATTCAGGAGGAAATTTACTCAGGTTCAAATCTCAGCAGGTGGAAGTATTGATTCTTTGTGTATTACTACGTATTAAGTTGAGCAACGGACGAGGCAAGTTCATGCTACAATTGCCCCATATGTTGCCACCTCATTAATTACCATGATTTGCATAGAATGGGTAAGTATTTCATTCTACAAAAAAAATTTTGTACTAAAAAGGACTAAAACATAAGTCATTTCTCAATATAGGACTCGAACTCTTTTATTCCCTAAATAGGATCGGACTTAATAATAATGTCTTGGGAAGAAATAATGTCTAGTGATATATGGAGGACATTTACTTGGATAATGATTAATTAATAATGATCAATGGTCCTATATTGAGAAAAAAAATATGGTCCTGTATTAAGAAAGTCGTTATGTTTTAATCCTATTTAAGTAAATTACTCTTCTACAAACCGTGTCATGGGTGCGTCAAGCCGCCATCAAGGTAATTAAGATTTTTACTTCGTATTATTTTTTTCTTTTTTTCTAAAAATTATTAAAATAAATTTTTTATGTTTATATAATTACATTTGTATTTTTTAATGGTAATGAAATTAATTTTTAATAATTAAAATATATAAAAAAAATGTAAAATATTACTCCATATAAAAATAATGACGACTTCCCACTCGTACGGCACGCAATTTTTAAATTGACTAAAAAGTAAATTGATTAAAAAGTATGACTATCACTTTACTTTTGCTTTATTACCCATGATCTAAGCCTAGATACTTTCATGAGAGTTTTGCTTTTTAGGATTGATTTATGGGGAGTGTATTTTGGTATTGAATTTCTAAAAATATCCTTTGATGTGATGGGTAAAAGTATGACTTGATGGATAGATTATTAGTAAAAAGGTATGATGTGATAGTTAGGGTATATATGAAAAAGTAAGAGGTTAAAGTAACTTTTTAATAGAAATGATAAGTGTTTTGTGGGACTGATAAAAAAAGAAAGGAGAAAAGTTTTATATGACGGATGGAGTAGTATCACACTCATGCATTGCACGGTTCGTATCAACGTTATAGATTTATGTTGGCATCATTATAAAAGTAAATAATTACACACACCATATAATAAAATATAATGTCTTTCATAATGTAAAACGTAAATATCATATAGATTACAAATTTTGAAAAACTTTTTTATAAACTTCAACAGTGACTTGTAGAAACATGCTCTGCATCGTCAATAAGAATCTTCAAGCTATTAAAATTTGTTATTCTTGAAACAGCAACATATAACTATTCATGACTAAACGCTGGTTTCCGTAATAATAATCCAACGTGTTTTAATGAATGACCTTGAATCTTACTCCCTCCGTCCCGAAAAACATGAGAGTTTTGATTTTGAAGAGAGGTTTAAAGGTAGGGTATGAAAAGGTAAGGGGTAAAAGTGACTTTTTAATAAAAATGAGAAGTGCTTTTTGGAACGGATGAAAAAAAAAGGAGAAAGGTTTTCAGGAACGGAAGGAGTATTTATTGTCACTGCATATGAAGTAACCACAGGATATTGTCGTCTTTGAAACTCGAATGGTATTCTATCATCTGATGATGTCAGTGATAGTCTTGGAATGAACTTCTTGACTCATGTGTGTTGGAGACAATATTTTCCATTGTATTGAATAATTTGCCAATTCAATTGAGTTAATATCAATCGTGTATCACTACACAAATCCATCAAATGATCAATGTTTCTAAGCAACATGATGGGAGTGCCTATCTTAAAAATGAGTTCATGATTTGGTACTACGGACGCTCGAATCTTATTTAAGAACTCAAGAACTCCTCATTTGGAATCATTGATGTCATTTATTCATTTATAGAATCAAGATATCCAAGATTGGAACCAAAATTGCACGATCTTGCAAATAGCTTGGATCATCATCTTTCTAGAACTTTTGATTGAACAGTGTAATTTCTACATTATATAATCCTTACAAATTTGTAAATAAAATAATTTTAAAAAAATGATATTATACATGTTATTCGAAATATGGGTTACAATTTAGGACAAAAAAAATGATATTGTACATGTTATTCGAAATATGGGTTTCAATTTAGGACAGAGGTATATTAGTATATAAAAGAAATAAAGCAATGATGCGGTCAGGTATGACCAATTGCGTATCCCATTTGTCCCCCACCCCTTTTTCACCACTCATTTTATCTCATTTTTATTTATTACTCCCTCCGTCCTCCTAAGATGTTCTCATTTTGACTTTTGGTGGTTTTTAAGGAGAGTTGAAAAAATGTGAAAGTTTACCATAATACCCTTAATGAAAATGAGTGGAGTGTATTAAATGAGGTGGGTGAGGTGTAATAAATAAAGTAAGTGAGGGTAGTTGTGGTATTTTAATTGTTAAAAAATGAAATGAAAAGATCTATTGTGGACATGGAAAAAGGACTATTGGGAAGATCTATGGGGGACGGAGGAAGAATTTTTTTAGTTTCCTGTCCATTTTTGTGGTAATGGAGGAGGTGGGAAACAAATGGGGTACACCTTTGGTGTACCCTAGCATTTTTCATCTTAATAATTCAGATTAATATATTGATTCATATGCATGATTCTTTATGCATGTGATTCTATATTAAAGAACGAAATGATGTATACTACCTCCGTCCTAGAGTATTTGTCTATTTTCATTTTTACACATCATCCAATACACTTTATTAATCCATTTTATCTTGTAATTTGTATATTAAAATATTATAGAAATTATATATTAATAATCTATATGTTAAGACAAACCAAATAAGATCACACATGATTATATTTAAGCTTACACATTGAGAAATTTTAATGACTCAAGTGCTTAGACGAACAACTCCAAAAGTAAAAACTAGACGAATACTCCGGGACGGAGGGAGTATTTGGGAAGGGAATATTAGACCTAACAAAAATGACTAGACCTGTTTTTGACCCGAAACCCGACCCGAAAATACTGGGTTTTGAAGAAAGGTTTTGCTGGCCGAACCCGAAGTTGATCGAACCCGAAATGACCCGCTAAAAATGGGTCAAACCCGACCGA